CTTTTCATAACCCAAGTCTTATCTGGGTTCACGGGGATTCATTACCCGGTTTTTCACAAATGGTTTTCATTAACCAAAACACATCACGAGACATAAATCTCAACATGAATATATAACCAAACCATAATACCCAACATCCGGGTTCCACAAGTTTCCAAAAACAAGCAAGTCATAAATTCTGGAAAATGGTTTAATCAAGTCTCAACATAAAGGTCCATTGTAACACCCCAAACTCATGTCATTCATTTTAGGCTTAGTATTATTTTTCATGGATATTATTTATGTTTAATTTAATGATTTATAAAGTTATTTTTATTTTTACTGTAAGCTCGATTTTATGTGATAATTAAGAGAGTGTCCACACTCATTTATTTATCAAGTTAATGATTAAAAAAGGAATTATTTAGATGTCCTCATCTATTTAATTTTTCTAAATATTAAATGCAATAATAATGATATAATTTTAATTATGAAATGGCTTAATTTAATTAATATAATTTTAATTTATTAATGAGGATAATAATATTAAGATGATAAATTGAGCTCAAATAACAGTCCAATTTTCCTAAGCCAGATGAAAGCTCAAGACCTTACGATATTTTCATCCCTCATCCAAGCAACAAGAATCCTAATTGTTATCAGATACCTAGTTCTATCATGCAAGAGTTCTTTTTAAACACGGTATCAAACCCCACACATTACAAATCTCTTCTCTTTATCTCTATCTCTCTCACCGATCTCTCTCACCTCTCTCGGCACTCTCATCGCGATCAGAATAAGAGTAAGGAAGAAGAAAATCTCTCAACTCTCTCTTATCTCTCGTCTCTCCCTCTCGTTTAAAAAAAAAAGAAAAGAAAATAGCAGGAAGATCACAGCCTTCATCATCGATCACCACCATCATCGTCCCTCACCTTGTGCATCGCCATCATCTTCATCGAGCAACCCACCTATGAACTGACTGAAGTGTTCAGTTCTTACAATTTGAACTAAAACAGAAACGAAAAATTACAAAAGAGGAAGCGAAAATAGCCCAGGCGATTGCTCTTTCCGCAAGACGAAAACGCCCCGTATAGTGCTGACGGGTTCAGGCGTCTCGTCCCCAATGATACATCGGCTTACGTCTCGAACGCTGTAGCACACCAGAATTCGAGCTCCGACGAACTGGAATGAAGTCGAGAACAGAGCAGTATGATATGATGCATGAGGCTTTGAGAATAATCAGAGTGCATGAAATGTTATATCTCTTCTCTGCAACTCAATGTCCTATTTATAGGACTTCCACCTCTGAGGGAGAACCAAGGGTTACACCAGCCACTTAAGGCTGAGATAAATGGCACCATTATTCTCAAACGTTTCAGGTGTTAAAACACCATTAACCAGGAGGAGTTAACACCATTAACCCCATTATCTTGAGTTGTTACTTCACATGAAGAGTCAGGTGTCCAGGTTCGTTGTACCTGGAGAGGTCTCACTCGGGTTAGGTCAAAACCCGAGTCCAAATCCAAATTGGATTTTCCAGTTGGGCCTAAAATTACAAATAAATTTGCAGCAAAAAGATATATAGTGATTGGGCCTAAGGCCCAAGCGCCCAAG